TCGTTTGCTAGAACTTTTCCAATGTCAAGTATCATTTCCTTAGACCATGAGGTTGTGCAACTCCCGGATACCGTAGGAGTGCTTTGGGTGTGCCAAACGTCACAACGTAACTGGGTGGCTATAAAGGTGCACTACGGGTATCTCCGAAAGTGTCTGTTGGGTTGGCACGAATCGAGACTGGGATTTTTCACTCCATATGACGGAGAGGTATCTCTGGGCCCACTCGATAATGCATCATCATAATGAGCTCAATGTGACCAAGGGGTTGGTCATGGGATCATGCATTACGGTACGAGTAAAGTGACTTGCTGCTAACGAGATTAAACAAGGTATTGGAATACCGACGATCGAGTCTCGGACAAGTAACGTACCGATTGACAAAGGGAATTGAATACGGGATTGATTGAGTCCTCGACATCGTGGTTCATCCGATGAGATCATCGAGGAGCATGTGGGAGCCAACATGGGTATCTAGATCCCGCTGTTGGTTATTGACCGGAGAGGCGTCTCGGTCATGTCTGCTTGTCTCCCGAACCCGTAAGGTCTACACACTTAAGGTTCGGTGACGCTGGGGTTGTAGAGATATTAGTATGCAGTAGCCCGAAAGTTGTTCAGAGTCCCGAATGAGATCCCGGACGTCACGAGGAGTTCCGGGATGGTCCGGAGGTAAAGATTTATGTGCAGGCGGTGGTTGTGGACATGTGGATGAGAGTCACCTCATCAATCCGCGGGAGGGTATGGAAGACCATTCAGAACGTGGTGTTTCAACCACACATAATTGACCCAAGTACATGTGGCGGGCACAAGAGTACACCCTCCACTGCTACGGCAATTACTTACCACTTTTCATTATGCTATGGCAATTACTTACCACTTTTCATTATTGTCATTTAGTACTTAACAAAGATAAATTACTTATATGTTGCAGCCCCGTATCCCATACGTCTCTAACATTTATCCGCACTCCTGTTACCAAATGGTATTAACGGTTTCCCCATGGAAGCAGCTAAGACAGTCTCTGTTTGTCCCCTGTTCAACAGGGAAGGATGGAGGTAAAAGTTGTCACTCCCGATGCAAATTCACCATCATACTAATACTAATGACCTTTCGTCCATAGTAGGCTATGTTGGATTGTCCGACTTCACCCAACATTTAGAAGATGATAAACATAAACATATAAGTCAAGTCCTATATCAACATTCAATTCTAAACATACTAGGATTCCACCATATCCCCAAGAACTAGAAAAATTACTCGCATATCGAGATCATAAGCATCGTGTACTGAATCATGGTACACATGGATGAAGTACCAAAGTAATACAAAAATGGATCTACGCGGACTAATGTATTACAAAGAGGTGACGATGGGATAATGATGTGTCTAGGTGTGTCCTGCGTAAGGTGTGGCTTGAACCAAACACTCATCTAAGTTGGTCAAACTTGCCTAACTTTAGGTGTGGCAATCTTTGGTGAAATTAGTCACAAACCAAACATCCCTTAGATTCATAAAAAAAACATTGTAGTTCTCAGCTCAGGACTTGTTCGGGTCGGAGGCAAAGAAAACATAGGTTTCAAACAAAACAGAGGAAAGGGAAAGGAAGAGATAGAGAAATTTACACGTTTGGTCCCTCCAAGTCTCTGACGCATAACGATTTGGTCCCACAAGTTTAGAAACGCTCCAATACGATCCGCATGCACGAGCATAGATAACATTGTACGGTACCTCTACGGTCCCCTCGATGGTTGAGTGCCTAGGTGTCTCCATGTAAACCCCTGCGCGTGTCAAGCTAGTTTTGCGGTCACACCCCTGCCGTTTCTAAAAAATAACACGCGCTCCACCCATCTGACAATGGTGTGATTTTTGTTGTTGGGGTGTTCATAATAGATATCTTTGTCTTAGGAAGACTGAGCCATGTCATGCATACATAATTAAGTGGGTAGGGATAGCGTTGTTTAGCATTATTATTTTGAAAGACAATAATTGTTTGCTAGTATTCTTTTGTATTACTGTTTTGATGTCAAACCGATAGACTATTGCATTAAATCAACCGTTTCCCATCATTTGTACCACAAATGGATTATTTGATCAAAAACATGTTAGATAGCATTCAACATTAAAAAATTATTTTTATATTTACCTACTCGAGCACGTGCCCCACAAGCCCTCGCCCCCGCCCCACACGCACTGGCCCGCCACAGGCCGCCCGCGCCCCGCCGCCGCTCGTTCACCAACCCTACCTTCTTCCCTTGTTGTGCCGCAGTCGAAAAGCCGGACGTAGATCGAGGTAAGGGAGACGACGGTGCAGACCCAGAGTGGGAGAGACAATGGAGAGTTTCATCACGATCCAAGTAGAGGAATGATCATAATATGCCGACGCAATGCGTGGAATATTCCTCCGTGGACAGAGTACAGTCGGTCACTGAAAATTGCTAAGTCCACACCATAAAGCTATTAGATCAATAATGAATGTTAGATTAAGATTTGTGGACCTAATTGTGTTGTGTTGATTGATTCATGTGATCAAGGTGGACATACAGAAAAATTGTATCTAAGAAAATCACTATTAGTTAGTTTTTAAAATGTCCTCCATAATTTATACTGAACTTTTTTACTTCATGATAACTCATTTTTTTGCAAAAGATATGTAGTTTCTTAGGATGATTTATTTCTCTCAATACACATTATTCGATACACTAAAATGTATAATATTTTTAGGTCGAACGAGCAGAATGAACAATCCAACATGCGCATGTATATCGGTACATATTTTGTTTTGTAACCATCCAATATTTAATTTGAAAAAAATATTGCATTAAACATAAATTTTATTTTAAAGCAAAAAGGTTTTTCATTTATATTTTGATGTATTAAGAAATTCCATTGTTACAAGAGATTACACAATAAATCATAGTAAATAATATTAGCACATCATATGTTTATATATATCCTTCTCCATAGGATCAATTGATATCTACAAAACTTGGTAGATGGTTTTTGATTGTATGGATCTTGCAAATAAACTGAAAGACGTTTCCAGAGTACAACTAGCAAGCTTAGGTGGAATAAAAAGAAAATAGATACTTCTAGGATACATCAAACATCAACTACAATTTTTTGTTTAAATCCCACCTTCTTACTACTGCAGGAATGCCTACGAGTGTTGGGCGCCAAAAGCCCAATAGTGGCAGTCGAGGCTCTCAATGCCGCCCGCCGCTGACCTCCCGCCGTTGCTAACGTGGCATGAGTGGCGGGCATAACTTGTAAAGACCTAGCAGCGGCGGGCTATACTTGGCGCCCGGCACCAGTAATCCCACTAAGGTACACACTAGCAATAGCAGTCCTTATTCCCCGCCGGCCACAGGTAAGATTTTAGAAAATAAAAAACGGAAGCACCTAGCATAGTAGCGGCACTCCACGGCGCATCCCTGTCCCTGATCGGGAGGCTGGCGCGCGCGCACACACACACGCGCGCAACATGTAGGCTGGCACCGCCCGCCGCGCGCGGTCAATCTTCCACCCCGCGCACGCAGGATTCACTGCCGCGCGCACGACCGCCGGATCCGCCGCAGCCCGCACGCCCGATGGATCCGTCGTGCGCTAGATTCGCTGGATCCATGCCCAGCTGGATCTGCTGCCGCACATGATGGATACGTCATTGCACTCGCTAGATCCGCCGCGCCCGCTGGATCCGTTGTCGCGCTCGCTGGCAGGGAGAACATCCACGGGAGGAGCTGGCGTTGGAGCCCTACCGCTGGTCGCCCTCGAGCTCGGAGAAACATCCGCAGGAGGACAGTGGGAGAGTGTGCAAAAACCGGCCGGAGCTCAAGAAGATCAAGGAGAGAGAGAGAGAGAGGGTCAAACTGTTCATGGATCTGTCTGGTGTGTGTGCGTCGTTGGGAGAGAGAAGAGAAGGGAGAGAAATAAGGGAGATGATTGGATCTATGTGCAAACACTAGTTGTGGACGGTTGGATGAGAGTCACCTCATCAATCCGTGGAAGGGTATGGAAGACCAATCAGAATGCGGTATTTTGACCACGCAGGCTTGACCCAAGTACATGTGGTGGCCACAAGAGTATACCCGCCACTGGTAATATAGTTTACCAGTGGCTAGTTTTTTGTAGTGCCTTTCACTACTATAGCAATTACTTATCACTTTTCATTATTACCATTTAGTACATAAAAAGAAGTTACTTATGTATTGCATCCCCATATCCCATATGTCACTATAATTTATCCGCACTCCGGTTACCAAACGGCATTAAGGATTTTCCCGTGGATGCAGCTTAGGCGGTCTCTGTTTGTCCCTTGTTGCAATGATCGGGAAAAGAGGGAGGTAAGCGCTGTCAGTGCTGACCTCTGCAAATTCACCATCATACCAATACTAGTGACCTTTCATCCCTAGTAGGCATATATTGGACGGTCGATTTCACCCAACATTTAGAAAATCATTAACATAAACATATAAAGAGGATGTCAAATCCTATCAACATTCAGTTCTAAATATACTAGGATTCCACCATATCCCCGTGAACTGGAAAAATTACTCGCACATCGAGATCATAAGAATCGTGTACTGAATCATGATAAACATAGATGAAGTACCAAAGTAATACAAAAATTGGATCTACGCAGACTACTGTATTACAAAGAGGTGAAGATGGGATAATGATGATGCCTCATACTGATGCGGTGATGTGGTGACAGAGTCCCTCTATCAACCACCCTCCGGAATCCATCCGGATGCTAGGGTTCTTTGTTCTGAAAGAGTTTCTCGTGGTTGAGGACGTATGATCCCGTTGCGATTGCATGGGGGGTGATAACGTACCAAAAAATTAAGCAGTATATTTACAGAAAAAACACTGGTGCACAGGTCGTGTTGCTCGTAAATCATGAAATAAAATAATGTGACTAGTCTTCTAATTGCTCGCAGATAACCCACTTAGCTTGAGAACAAGTTTGCATCCAAGGTCCCTCTCGTGCCTGGGGATGTACCATATCAGCGCTCCCTGGAGGCCATGGCGGTGGCATTGGACGTCCCTCTCGTGCCTCTTGTCTTGGGAAGCAGGATGAGCGCAAGGACTGCACAGATGAAGGCGAAGGCGCAACCAACGCCGAATGCCGGTGTGTTGCCCTTTCCAAAGGCTTTGTCGATCGGGCCAGCGGTGAGCACGATAATCAGCTGAGCAAAGAGCAACAAGGTAAACAAGCAAGTCAAGACCAACGCAGGGGAAAGTAAACTAACACCCTGAGGTGCTGATTAGCAACTAGAACAGCCGATTTGTAGTTTTATCACCTGCGGCACGATGATGGCAATGTTGAGGACACCAATGGCGAGGCCTTGGCCACGGTCGTCGGCAACCTTAGAAGCAACAGCCCACGGTACACTGAACAACACGGCCTGTGGGATTCCGATGAGCGCGAAGAGGGAGAGCGCGATGACCCTGAGCTTGGGGTCAGGGCCGGAGAGGCCAGCTGTGAAAGACGCGTTGTACCCCTTGGTGGAGACCAAGCCAAGGATCACCATGGCCGTCATGATGCCAAATAGGATGAAGTTGCTTAAGGACCACACGACCCTGGACGTGAGCCTACCGCAAAGGTGGGGGGTGTTGAAGGAGGCGGCCAAGAGGCACATAGAAGAGAGCAGCAGACCGACGGCGCCCTCGCGGACGCCGGCGTAGTAGACGGCCACCTTGGGCCCCTGCGGCTCGCCGTGGTAGATCTCCTTGCCCATCCAGTCAGTGCCATACTGGATGAAGGGGAACCACGCCAGCTGAGAAAACATGTCAGAATAGTCAGTCAATCCTCGATGGGTGAGGTGCATGCATTGTTTTAAGAGGTTGTGGATACACAAAACATTACCCAGGTTACAGCCGTGACGGCGAGCACTTTGAACATAGATGGGGGAAGGTTCTTCAAGCTCTTGTAGAAGTCGCCAAAGCCGCATATGCATCCACGACGGCCAGAGGAGGCCTCCAGGTCGGCATTGTGGAGCTGCTTCTCTTCAGCAATATACATGGTGATGGACGTACTGATGATAATGACGATCTGAAAGACACGAGCTGAATAAGCAGCCATTCATGAGATAAGTGGTTCTGAATTTCAGTTTAGAAAATATTTCGACCATACTGGTTTAGAATTTGGGTGATTTGGGTTCGGCCAATTAATGGACCGAAATCTGTGACTTGAATTCGGTAGAAATGCTACCAAATAATTCGAAATTTAAAAAAAAATCATTTGAATTTGCGTATACTACCGTAATAACAGAAATATCTATATGGAAAAGCAATCATTTCAGTAGCTATGGGAATGACTGAAATCTTTGAAATCTCGATGACATTTTATATTGAAAGTGAAAACTATAACTGTTGCTCTGACGGTTTACCACAGCTGTGAGGAAGGCGCCCTTGAGATTTGCGCAGGCTTCGCAGCACGCCGTAGTTTTGAGCCAAGGGAGCCACACGTGCCAGTCACTGTCGGCACCGGCCATATAGCCCAGGACGTTTCCTATGGCCATCCACCCGCAGAAGATGGCCTGCCCGACGCTGGGCATATAGTTTCCCGCTGCTAGTCAAACAGCTAGTCAGGGTCTTCTCCGGCCCATCATCGCCGTGCACCGGTCGCTGTAGTAACCCACGATGGGTGGCACCTAGCCGGTGAATCATTTCACACTCATGTTAATACTTCATCTGTTAGTACTCCCTTCTTCCCGGTTTATAGGTCCAACGCGTATCTCTAGGTTGTTCATTTTAGCCAATGTAGTATGAATTTTGAACCACAAAAGTTATCATAAGAAAATAGAACAATTTAATTTTTCTCATGGTATAATTTTTGCAATATATAACTCGTATTATTTTGGTTAAATCATCAATCTAGGAAAACGAGTGTGCCTAATAAACCAGAAAAGAGGTAATATCACTTAATTATTTTGTCTTCCTTCCAGTGGAGATCATTCACAGGCTTGAAGAAAAAAGGGTGAGCGAGGATAAATGCATGCAGATATGACAAAGAGGATCTTCTCATGTTAACTACTTACATGAGTTGGGGGGAAATCGTGTAAATATCTGTTTTTGGAAGAGAGTATTTTGGAAAGGGAAGGGAATGAATTGACGGGATGAGAAGAGATCGCACTCACAACAAACCCAGCGATAGGTCCGCAGATCCAAGTGAGGGAAACGCGCTGGTGTGGGATCCCAAGACTCTGCATATGCAAACCACCGAACGACCCAAGGATGAGGTAATAGATCATCAAGAATTAAGCAGGCACGGAGAGGCACCTGACCTGACCTGAGAGTAGGGGGAGAGGAGGGAGAGCTGCAGCGCCCAGGCGTACTGGATGCCGCCGGCGACCATGCAGGCAAAGAACAGCCTCCCGAGGCTGCAGACCTGCTTCGCCGCGTACACAACATTGTTGGGAAAACTCAGGTCTCCCTCCCTATCCATCGTTTAGGCCGGCGGCGATGCAACGGAGAGACACGGATGCGGTGGTTTTACAGATGAGAGAGATGGAGATGGAGATGGGAATGGGATGGGCAAGTAAAACCCAAGGCTGAAGAAGGTGGGGTTTAAAGAGGCCAATCACGGCTGGGCCACCGGCCCAACAGGTAGGCTTATCTACGTGGCCCTGTAATGTTAATTGGCTATATATTTTTGTTCCCTAATTACTGTTCCTAAGTTTGTTTTCTCTCTCCAAAATAACATTACTGTTCCTAAGATTCACGCCCAATATGAACTATTCATTTGCTCAAGAAAAATCCCATGTTTTTCAGAAGTTAATTTGGTAAGTGTTGATGCGTTTCCAACAAATGAATGCCAAGATTTAATTGTGTTTGTTGTCTAACAAATTATCGTAGAAGAAATTCTCAGAAAATCTTGTGTATAGGGTAGTGGATCAGAGAGAAGCATACATCCATTTTCCCATGCGAGAAAAAGCACACATACTGACTTTTACGGACCTGCTACAAACCCTTCCATAAATTATCTTCAGGCCCCTCTGATTTTCACCCGTGTGGGGCCCGCCCTCACCCTTCGTCCAATTAAAATGCGCCAGTTCAGGAATCAGCCCGTATACTTATGTAAAGCTCCGTACGTCTAGCAAAACTCATAGTCTTACTATAAGGTAACGAC